CCAGCCATTCTGGCTGGGGAATTCTGGGAGTTGAAGTCCACACACCTTAAAGTTCCCAAGGTTAAGAAACACTGCCTTAAGCACTACACCACACTGGTGTGCCATATCCCTTTGTGCACCCAATTACTTATTTAAGATTTTAGCCACAGAACAGTTGTATTTTAGTTTTCTGCTGGGTCACAAGGCATTATAAGTCTCCCACCACTATGTGCCTCAAAGCCTAATGGAGCACATACACTGCAAAACACTGAGAGTCACTAAGCATTTCCCCAAATGATGCAGCTCCTTATTCACTCCATTAGTTAGGGAGCTAAATTCCTTTCCCAAATTTGGAGCAAGCACTGTTGCAGACTAAGATACTTGACTCTTTTGAGACCCAAGCATTCTTTACTTTTGGGAATGTAGATTCAGCAGATTCATCCATTCAAGGATCACCCTTGTGACCTACTTACACAACTGGAATAAACTTGGCCCGTGCCAAAAAGCTGCCGATGTAGTTTCCGGCGGTTTGCCGGATCACAGCAGGAACGTTTGGATTCTGTAGCTTTTTCCAGAGATGTTCCACAAAAGCTTCTGCGATTACCTATAGGGCACAGGACATACTTAGCTATTAATGCTGGGGCAATGCCCACAGGTATCAATCGGTTAAGGGAAACAATTAGCTTCCAGTATGAATAATTAGAATTGGAATCAAAAGTTTCCAATGTATTTCTGGTCAAATTAAATCAGGAGCAAATCACTGTTTAATGTCAGGGATTTTGGGTGAGGTCAATGGCCAGGGGTGATTCATAATTTCTATCCGGTTTCAAGTTTCTCTGGAGAAAAGATTGTGTCTCCTTGACACCTGGTGCCTTCATGAATACAGCTATGTTGTTTCCTTGACAACAATATAGTTTGCCACTGTCTTCTTTGGGGATGTTTTCTAACTACTGCATCAAGCTTACAGGTCTGGGATTATCTGCCAGTTGCCCATCCAAGTGCTTAGCTTCTGAGTGAAGACAAGCCAAGCAGGTGCTGTCTAAAGCAAAAGAGGTAGGCTTAACACATCTACTTTACACTGTATCTTTATAAAAACATACTGAGAATGGCACCTCCAAAAACTGGAAATTTAATGCCAAATTTTGGCAGTGTGATCTTGGGTAAGCTTGGATGTTGGATATAAAAGCACAGGGGTCAAAGGGAGTTCACATTTCTAATAAACCAAAACCAAGTATAATGTGCCGACATGGTAATGGAGTTGCTCTGGATTCTAAGTTCTCTGACAATGAAGCAACATCATAGGGAAAGAGGTAGGGAAGAGAGGCAAACTATCTGTTGATGTGTTCTTTGGATAGAAAGATCCAGTTAAGAGGAGAGAAAAGCATAGGGAGGGGATAAAAGTTAATATGACTTACCAATTTGAAACTAGAGAGGTAGAACATGATGTACTGTACGTGACATGATCCATGGGTCGTTAAAATCAGCTTATCAAATATAGCCACAAGATCTCGGTATAAGTCTTTGGTGTTGCCGACATCAAGCTTATCTAGGAACAAAAATATTTCTGTTACTAGGGTCATATGCTCAGAAAAATTAGGAACTTTTAAAAAGGCTGTCAGTTTGTCCAACTTTTAGATGCTCATTAATATGTTTACAAGGCACTTCTTCTGACATGCATGAAACGGGGAAGGCTGACTGTTCATAAGCCAATTTGAGTTCTTCTAATCAACGGGATCTGGAGCTCCAGAGCTCAAGAGATAACACGTGTTTTTCCAGGCCAGTGGCTGTAATCAACTGAAGCTGAATTGACTTACATGCCCAAATTTAAGTCATGAATTATGGCAACATACTACAACGTGATCAGGTGGCTGTTAGTACACAAACCTCAGTCATTCCTCTCTTTATGCTAGTAAAAGACACCAGGAAAGAGCATCCAAGATTCTAGTCTATTCTCCAAAACAAGCCAAAATCTGAAGCTAGCAACAAACCAGAGCAGAGCAAGCAACTGCTCACTGAGAAACTGTTTTGTATTGTGTTCTGTAAGTCATAATACATGAGCTGAAGTATCCTGTGGATGTAGCCACTGGTTTGGATCTAGGCTTTTTCACATCTGTGGAAGTGCGCTGCAGCCGGCCCCCAGTACAGCAGATGAAGACACAGATGATTATTTTATTATTTTCTTCTTCCTAGAAGTAGAATTACCACTTTCCATGCTGCTGTGGAGGAACATTCAGCATTTTCTGGAGAAGTTTCAAGGGGGTACAGAAGATTGCTGGGGGAATTAACAAAATACACCTTTCCCTCCCCTGCTAATTTAACTGTAAAACAAAGCCACTCATTTAACTGAATATGGTTAAAATGTCACACTCTTTCTTCTGTTTTCCATCCGTACAATCTTGCCGCTCTTCCCCTCCTCAGATCTAAGCCTTCTGCCAGCTTGGCCATCAAGAAGTTCCTTTCAAGGGATCGCCTACATTAAGCTCAAATGCTCAGCTCAACATTGTTGGCTCCACACTGTCAAAAAATGCTGGGAAACCGTCCCAGTGTTATTACCATCAACGTAGCATATGTCTTTAATGTAGGAAAATAACACGATCATCAAGATGTCGAGGCGTTCTGCAAGGGGATGAGCCATGATGTCATTCTTCTCTGGGTTTTCCCCATCTTCATCCTGTTAAAACCAAAAAAAAAAGGACAACAGAACAGGTAAGTAATTTGCAGGTAGCAGTTCACAGAAAGGATTGGTTAGGGTTAGAGAAAACGTACTTGCCAATTTTAAGTCAGTTGCACATTAGATTAAGCCATGCTTTTTAACTAAAGGACTATGAATAACCCATCGCTGACCAGGTTTGCACAAGCTAAGCTATAAACTATGGATTCTGAAACATTTGGCTTACACTGAGGTTTATTTGGTTTTGGCTAAAAGTAATGCACAAATCCCACTCTTGCAGTTAGGGGTTCAGATAAAGGAGGGCAACCTGTAGGCCACACGCAGCCTACCCAGAACCCGAGATCACACTGCCAAAGAAGTACGTGTCTTTTTCTGTTAATACACAAAGCAGATGACTATAAAAGCCATCCAGTTATGATTTAAGTAAGAAAACTCCAAGGCAGCAATCTGAATCAACCCCAAAATGAAAAACTGATGCTTCCAGATAAATACTACTTCTTACGGCGTAAAAACAATTCTGCCTGTAACGTTTAGGATAAAAGGGACATATATTTTAATACTGTTTAACAAGCAAACTTACCATATCGAAGAGTCCCTTCTCACTGCTTTCCTCTTCAGCTTCTTCAGCAGCTTCAATATCTTTTCTTGGGGCACTTACCTGTTGTATTAAAATAGGATCACCTTGAGTATTTCTGAAGTTATAAAACTGCGTCACAAATGTATTCCCTCTCCTATCTCACTGCCTAATGGTTCAGTAAATTCTATTTAACTTAATACATACCAGCATCACTTACTGAAGAATGTGAAGTTTGCAAAGTTAAAACAGTTTTCACAATGCAACTATGGAAACCCTTTATAAAAACCACAATTTACAGCATTCTGTACTTACATCAATCTTTAGCAGTTTCTCAACAATCAGCTCCAAAATGTCATGTCTCAATGATGGGATATATCTGCTTATTCGTAGCATGTTATGGAGATAACATTGCTGAAATGAAAGAGTTTCCCATGAAAACAGTATCAAGAAATTTTAAAAATCGCATCTAGGCAACTAAGAAAAACAAGTTTTATTTTTATATCCAAATTCAGAACCACCACAGATTTAAATAAAGCGTTCCTTAAAATCCACTTTTTATCATACTGCTTGGACACAATATGTCCATGAGAGAGATTTTAACTAAGGACTGGGTTCACACATAATTGAATTTACTTATGGTTTATTGAGCTGCAATTAGTTAATTTCGCATATAATGCTAAGCCATAAGCCATGATATGCACAATCACTGCACTTCTACAGAACAGGAAAACAAAACCAAACGAAGCACACTGGGCTTAGCAAGATAAACAAACTCAATAATTAGATATCTGAAGGAACAGAATGCTTCCTTCACAATAATAATTATTATGGACATCCAGCGTGTTTCTGAGCCATTAAGTTCACGGCTGCAAAACTTTCCACTAATGGATTTTCAGGTGAGCTTTCAATGAAATGAACAGCGGATACCAAAAGCACAAAAAGATCCTCATTTGCAGAAAATCAGATACTTACTAGAGTTCTTTCTGATTTATTAATAAAGGGAAATTTTTCTGTCAGCACCGGCATGAGAAATTGCGGCGTCCTACAACACGGAAAATATAAGCCACAGGTAAGCAAACCCAGCCTTCATTTATTTCGTGACAAGTATACACAAGCTTTGGAATGCAACAACAGTCTACAAGAGCAAACTCAGAGACAGCAATCTTGGAAAAGTGCCTCTAAGGCTGCTGATCACATCACTACCAACTCATGGGCTAGAAACGGTTTGAACTAGGTATGTTTGTTCCTTGTGTGCAAGGAACGTGTTTTTGGCTACTCTGAATGCATTTATAGGTAGAAAAGAATAAACATTCACTTTGAAGATGTAGGATAGGGTGACCATGGACTTAACATTGGGTGGGGTGAGGCCACATCACCCATATGAATAAGGCTGGGTGTGTGGCGAGAAGTCAGGGGTTTGCCTTTTAATTGTAATAAGTTTATGGGGAGGGGTATTCATGTGTTTCCCATCTTAACACATGGCAGGACATTGCTGCTGCTTTCTGGAATCATGGTTGGAGGGGGCCCTGTGGGCCACAAAAAAAAAAAGCTCAGGCGACACGTTGCCTCCCCCTGGCCCAGCAAATCAAAGACCTTTAACTTACAAAGGGACATATTTCACAATTGTCTGCAATGCTCTGTGGCAGGTGGTGAAGCTCTCGAGAACATCTGCAGAGATTGAAAAACAGCATGTCTGTTTAACCCAGAAAGTTCAAGGATATAAGTACACTTCTACTTTAGACTTTGTCAACGCCTTCTGATTTCTCAGGCCAGTTTTGTGGTTATTGCATTATTTACACCTAGTAAGGCACCTGAGAAGCCTTCTTCCATCTAGCATGCTTCCAGATGTGTTGGGGAACCCCCAGATACCATGTTTGGAAAAGGTTGTACTTGGAAAATGGTGGCCATTGGTTTGGAGGATTGCAAAAGAGATCTCCCAGCTTGTCATAATGTCTGAGCCAACCTCTAGAGCAGTGTTTCTCAACCTTGGCAGCTTGAAGATGGGTGGACTTCAACCCCAAGAATTCCCCAGCCAGCCAAGCTTTCTGGAATCATGGCTGGGGAATTCTGGGAGTTGAAGTCCACCCATCTTCAAGCTGCCAAGGTTGAGAAACATTGCTCTAGACTGAGTGCTGAAAAACCAGGCATATTCAAGATTAGACTCCACCTTTTACTAGGAGCACTCTGACTAAAATAACACTCCCTTGGTGCAGAAAGACAACTAGCAAAATAGAAATAATATCCATAATGGGCAGAGTGTGGATAAAAGAGTTGATCAATAAATATGAAAATGGAAGTACTCACTTTCATCATCATCTGAGTCAGAGATGTCTACATCATTCTCCCGGATGGTTATTCGGGCTAGGTAGAAACAGGGGTTCGTTAGTATTATGATGGAATCAGTTGTTTTATCTTGCTGGTCAACTGAAAGGTCTTGCAGAATATTTTACACGCAATCAATTAAAAATACAGCTTCTCCCAACAGGTTTACAGCAGTCACCCACGGAGCCTTGGTGGCTGAGGGTGGGCTTGGACATGGGTTTCCTTGCTTTGAATTTCTATTATTAGTTCCGAAAGAAACAAATTAGAAACTACAGCTGCTATTATATCATAATCCTTTCTCTGGGCAAAAAGGCAATTTTATCTACTAATCAAAAAATGAATCTGTATGTTTTCTGGGGACACAGATTTTACGATTTTTTTTTGTAACATCGGAGAATCATTTCCCCCCCCAAGATACATTTATTCTATTTGATGTGACATATATAGATAGCGTCCCCTTTTTCTGTTTCTTATTTTTGATTGGGGTTTTTTTGCATTAGATTGGGTAGCTGTATTTTGGGAGTTTTTTTTTTCATTTTTTTCTTTGGCTTTTTTTATATTTTGTATCCTATTTCTTTCTGTAAAACTAGTTAAGACAAATAAACATTTTTTTTAAAAAAAACAGCAATACGACCAACCATGTTTGAGAAATTGAGATTAAACCACTTAACCATGACTTTTGGAATATTTCACACATCCTCCAAAGCTAAAACCAACCAAGGCAGTTTATGGCTTAGCACAGTATACGAAAGCACACTTCTCCAAAGTTCTTTGCTCAGGCACGTGAAGGAAAGGAGAAAGAGAAGCAAGTCAGCTCAAGATTTAATAACTTCCACACTTCTGATCAAGCCATAATTTAAACATCAATGGTTGAATAAGCCACAATTGATGAGTTTTGCTCATCATACTAAGCCATAATACATGGTTGGCCAACCAAAATGAATGGGATCCCATAAGCCACATTACGCCTTACTGTAACAGGCAAATCCAGCTGCTGAAGTTCCTCTTGACTCGTACGTCACATTAAGACTTGCACAGATGTCCAGATGTGAAATATAAAAATCATGTTTCCAAGCAAAAGTCATTCTGACATTCTTGGCAACCAAAAAGATAAATGGAAGGGGAGGAAAATACTTACGAGGTACAAAGTGTGAGACTATCATTGCAAGGCATGGCCTAAGATAGATCGTCTGAGCAGACACTAAGTTACTCAGGAAAGCTAAATATTCCTCCACCACAGCTTGGCTTCTTCTCAACCATGGCACCTTCTGCATTTTGAGAGACAACAGGATCAGAAGTTGGAGCGCCTGTTGGGCCCACCAAACCAAAAGCAAGGAGGGCATCCATTGCAACCACAGAATTCTTACCAACAGGATGGTGATTAGTTGTTCAAACTCCTTGGTCAAAAAGGTAACAGAGGACCGGAACTCATATAGCCAGTTAATAATCTGGTCATCCTAAAAACAGAAGCCACCGTAGCTTAATTAATGAACCATACGGGATGTCAAAAGTTTTAGGTAGGGGGGAAGTAGTCTGCTTGTCTTTAAGATAAAAACCATCAGGAAGACCAACAGCCGGCCACATTTTGCTTGCACACTGCTTGCCACCCCTTGAGCGTGGCAGCACAGATCAGCCTCTCAATTTTGAAACAGCAGAGGAGTTAGTTTTGTCCTGCACTTGCCCAGGAAATCCATTTACCAGCTCCCTGGATGGAAGGCAGACTGGGGTAGAGGGATGCTCAAAGAGATTCCCAATAAATCAGACTCTCCTCTCACATGCCCCTAACACCTCTCATCCTATATTTACTGTTATTTTTTTGTCAGAGAGGAAAAGGAGGTGTAGCCCCTCCCGTCTTAAATGCCTGGCATACTATGATGGCTACTTGCAAGATGCAAGGGATACTGGGTAATGTAGTTTTCCTAGCATAACTGACACATGACAACACTACTGGGTAAATTCCATTAGCCAGCGATTGCTAAGCCTGGCAAATAGTGCTGGTGGTGGGGTTGCGATATTTTGTTTATCATCACAAATCTGGTTGGATTCATATTCCAAGTTGTGTTTGGGTAACATTCTGGTTCCTCATCAATTATAAATTATAACCATAAAGAATACTCAAAGCAGATTCAGATTATCCATTTCTTTCATTCTTTCTTAAATCTAAGAAGGCATTCCAGAATACTTAAATATTATGGAAATCTTACTTTTATGTCTGGATCCAACAGCTGATGCTTCAGCAAATCAAACTCAGTTGTCTCGCCCTGAAAGAGAAAATTGCAATTTTGCACTGTGCATAAAGAACTCCGCAAATTCCCTTTCCACATATAGTAATCTGCAGTGAGGAAAAATAAAAATGAAACAATTCCTTGAGGGTGAACTGTCAGTATTAAAACAGAAAATGTTATGAATGCATCCTGTGCAACTGATGCATTTTTCCTTGCCAACACCGCCTATAGCACTATTACCTTTTGATATTTCAGTAGGATCTCTGCCAACGTTCCACCAAATCTGACTGTCTTCCTTGGTGGCGAGCAAAAAAATTCATCCTCAGCCAACATGTCAGAAAAGCCTAAAAAAATTGCAACGTAAGATTGGTATGTGAAAAACTTTGATTTTGATGAATCTACCATGATCACAAACCAGAGATATCCTGGCGTACACAAAGCCCACTCAGTACAGCTTGGTTATTCCTGCTAAAGGCTGTTACTTGAAGTGCCCAAACTGGAATTGCTCTCCACAAGCCAGGATGGGGTGCATCTATTAAGTACAAACTGTGGTTTACAGTTTCACCTTCTGAAGGGTGTAAGCAAAGAGATCTTGGGTTCAGGCATTATGGAGCCTTCTGCTCCTGGTTAGTTCAGATGCTCATGTTACAGGCAGGGTTTAATGGGGGAGACATTTAAACATGTTCAAGACTGGCTAGTGGAAGGTAGTTTTTTTCTCCAGCTTCTCACACTGTTGAGATTTAAACAGGAAATGCCAAAGACTGAAGATAAAATCTTATGCACGTCAGCAATTTCCATAAAAATGACAAAATATGCAAAGCTATCATTGGGCTTTTTCCTTCAGAGGGAGTGGACAGTCCAGAGAAACAAAGAAGTGCAGAGGCCCAGCAAGGCAAAGCCCAACATGAAAAGGTTCAAGAGCTCCACATGCTGGCCATTAACAGAGAAGAAAAAAAGGAGAAGAAATCCCAGAGAGAGGAATAAAGGCAGAACAGGCTCTGTAAGAAGGAAACACTGAGGTATAATAGTAAGTAATAGTATATAGTTTAGAGAAAACATTGTAATAGTAACAGAATACAGGATAGAGGTAACAGGTAGGATGTGCGCACACATGCATTTGTAAATCTTATACATCACTTTTATAAAGCACCTTTGTTTTGCAAAATAAAAAGTCTCCCTATCCCTTATAGCAGTACTTTTTCAAACTTGGCAACTTTAAGATATGGGGACCAACTCCCAGAATTCCCCAGCCAGCATGCTTATAGGGAGATATAAAGAACATCCCTGGTGCAGGGTCCAGTGCTTTTGTCTCCCCCTTGAGTCTGGGTCAGCCTAACTGGGTTTGGTTTAAAAAGGGACCCGTGACACATTTAGCTCAGGACCCCCTTTCAAGAGTCAGCAAAAGCAAAATCCAGGATTTACTGACAGAAGGACTCATTTTTCTTTTACTGCCCGTTGCTTTCTGCATCCTCTGGCGAGAAAAGCTTCTCCCAAAGGAAGGGAGACCCTTTTCTGCCCGGCCTCTGGAGCATCATCCCGCCGTTCATCAGACTTGCCCCACCTCTGCTGGCCTTTTGCAGGGTACCAAAAAACTGGCTTTGCCATCGAACCCGCGGCATGGCTAGTTTGAGTGTTTATGAGGGTTCCCGGCTGCTACTTTTATGTCACTTCTGTTGCTTTTCATTCCGGCAGCTTTTATTGCTTTGGTTTCATTTTCACTGTGAGCTGCCCAGGGCCAGGGAGATCAGATGGGCAAATAAAATGAATATTTATCTAGGAAGTTCCGCCGCTTTGCCTTCCCCAGTCGAAGGCTACTACTCCCCGCCTCCTGCAGCCAATATAGCCGCGGTGCTGGGGATGATGGGAGTTGTAGTAGAGCCAAGGCCGCCGTTCTGACAGGAGAATCTGTCCTCCGAGCCTCGGCCCTGAAGGTCAGGAGGGCCAACAAAACCCCACCGCGCTCAGGAAGGATTCCGCAGGGCCGCGGAGAAGAGACGACTCCTCGGCCTGGCCTACCTCACAAGGCTGTTGTGAAGCAGACGAAAGGGAAAGAGCGAAAGACCCTCGAGTCCTTCCCCCCCCTTGCAGCCCGCACCTCCTCTCCCGCTCTGCAGGCTCCGCCGGCTCAGCCGCGCTCCGCCCTCGCCCCCCGAAATCGCCGCCACCCCCTCCGCCCCTTTCCCCC